CCTGAGCATAACACAAGGGATGCAGGGAATGTCCTGACTTCCAGCCTGGTTAGGTTAGTTCATTAGAATCTCCTGCACCTCATGGAAAATGGGACAATAGTTTCTTCTCTAGCAGTCTGACCCAAGAAAGTACGTTTAACTCAGACTAGTTAACTGGAACCAGTCCTGAAGAAGAGTCATACCAGACTTGAAACGTTAACCCTGTTGCTCTCTCCACAGATGCTGCCAGACCCTGCTGGGTTTCTCCTGCATTCCCTGTCCTTGCTTCATATTTCCAGCATCTGCCTTATTTTGCTTTTATCCACCATAGTTCGCCACATTCGATCTCTATTTGGAGATCTATAGCAGACCTGTCTCTGGGGGGCTCTTGTGGTGCAGTGGTAGCATTTCTACTTTGAAGCCAGGAGACTGGGGTTCAAGTTCCATCTGCTCTAGGGTGTGTAATAGCATCACTGGACAAGCTGACAACAAAATATAACAAGACCTGGCTTTGGAAGGTTTTTTCACATTGGTATCAGCTCTCATTCACTGGGTAGCATTCCTGTCTTCGAGTGTGAAGGTTATGAGTTGACACTTCTCTGCTGAGTGTTACTTCAGTAACCCAGGCTGATACTGCAGTACAGCAGTGACTGAGTGCTGCACTTCCAAAGGTGTCGCCTTTCAGCTAGTATGTTTAAAACATGTTCCCATGTGTCTTCTCAGGTGGACACATCTCGCAACAGTCATCTTGAAGACGATTAGGCAGGTTGTCTCCAGGTGTCCTGGTCAATATATATCCCTCAAGCAACAGAACAGGTTCTCTAGTTGTTATGTGGTGTTTATGTGAGCATGCTGCACTTCCTACGTTGCAACGGTGATTCCTAAGTACCAATGCTTAGGGACCTGCAAAGATCACACACCTCTGACTTTTCTTTATATGGACAAGTCAAAAACGACATTGATTGTGAGAAATCACAGTGCACAGGGTGGCTCCTACTTTGTAGTCTAACCTACCATTACAATCCTGCCTGGAGTTGTACAACACCTACACCAACAACTTTGGATCATTACAGCAGAACAGCCTTCCCATTGCACTGTTGTGCAGTCTCAAGCTAATATAAGCAGCTAAGCCAAAGACTCATTCATTCCTGTTCAGCGGCAGAAGGTACACATGCAGCAAGTGTTGCTGCTGTTTGGTTTCTGGAACTGGTATAACCCTCTCCTTTTTCTGTAAGAGTTGGTGTGAGGTACAGAACAGTGCATCAGCATGTAGCTGAGGAGAGAACAATCCCAATACAGCCAGAAACCTCAGGTGACCCACCGAAAGAGAGCTGGGTTTGAGTGTTGACAGTGTGAAAGTTAAACATGAATACGAGATTGACGTTAAGTGACTGCAATCAGGGATTTAATGCTTTCAAATTCCTCGAGTCATAATTTAAACAGTGCAAGATGAAAAGTCAGAGTTGAAAAATCAACAACAAAAGGGAGAGGATGAAATTAATTATTAGTTCAGCCAGACTGGGCTATCTCTAAGCCAGACATCGACTGCCTGGGATTTAAGAACTGAAATCTGTTGTTCCTATCGCACAGAAATGCAGAAAATAGGAGCAGGCATAGGCCATTCGGCCCTTTGAGCCTGCACTACCGTTCAATACGATCAGGGCTGATCATGCAATTGCAGTATTCCATTCCCACTTTTCTCTCCATACCCTTTGATCCCTTTGGCACAAAGACCATGTCAAGCTCCCTCTTGAAATATGTCTAATGAGCTCACCCCTTAGCTTTCTGTGGGAGAGAATTCCAGAGGTTCACAACTCTGAGTAAAGAAATTCTTCCCCCTCATGTATGTAATTTGTATACCTTTTATGGGACCCCATCCAAAATGTCAATTCACCTGTTATCTCCAGGTATGTTGTGCATTGCTTGCTAGTCCAGTCTTAATTGCCCATCCCTAATTGCCCTGGAGAAGGTGGTGGTGAGCCACTCTCTTAACCACTACAGTCCTTGGAATGTAAGTACACTCTCAGTGTTGTTAGGGAGGGATTTCCAGGATTTTAACCCAGTGCCACTGAAAGAATGGCAATATATTTCCAAGTCAGGAAATGGGGTGAGATATTGCGATCTGTCCTCTGTTGGGAAGATAGCAGGCCTAGGAGGCCAAAGCCTCAAAATTCAAACTGGACAGTGCATGAATGTTGTCAGGCAGCATGAAGGGTAGTGGAATGTTAAAAATATCCCCCCCACCCCCAACCATCCCCCATCGCCAGCAAGCTGCTGAGTTGGAGTTCGATGGAGTGAGCTGAGAATTTCAAAACTGAGATTGATAGATTTTGTTCAATAAGACTTTGAAAGGATTGTGTAAACAAATGGAGTGAAGATAAACAGCAGCCTTGATGCACCTGAATAGCATGATAAACTTCAGCAGCTGAATAGCTTCCTTCGTTTCTTATGTTCCTAAGGACCCTTCTATCTTCCCACAGATCGGTTTTTCTTCATGTGTCTTCTGCTATCTCTGTCTTCTGCTGTTGTTCAGTCGTGTTCCAGCCATTGCACCTGTGCTGGAGATCTAGCCAATTGTAAGTTTGTGTCTTCGCTGCAGGAGGGTAAGTACAATCCCAGCAGGAGATGGAAGCAGCTCGTGTTAAACTTTTTCCTACAGTGCGAAATGAGGGGGAATTGAATTGCTTCAAAAATCATTTTCCCGTAAGCTTCCCCTCTCCATCATCCTAATTTGTCACCGCATGCATTGCCTTGCTGTTCCTTCTCCCTGCGTGCTCACTGTGTTGTAGTGTTGGTGGTAATCCTGTAAGAGTTTTCATGCTGAAGCATCACAAGTGGGTACAGCACAGTGGTTAGCACTGCTGCTTCACAGTGCCAGGGACCTGGGTTCAATTCCACCCTTGGGTAACTGTGTGGAGTTAGTTCATTCTCCCTGTGTCTGCATGGGTTTCATCAGGGTTTCCTCCCATGGTCCAGAGATATGCAGGTTAAGGTGGATTGGCCGTGCTAAATTGCCCATAGCGTCCAGGGATGTGCAGGTTGGATGGATTGGCCGTGCTAAATTGCCCATAGCATCCAGTGGATCCATTGATCTTTGCAGCACACTGCTGGTCACAGGCCTCCAGTCTGAACTACCACCCTCTGTCTCCTACCTTCAAGCCACTTTTGTATCCAGTTGGCTAGCTTTCTTTGGATCCCATGTGATCTAAACTTACTAACCAGTCTACCATGTGAAACCTCAGCTAAGGCCTTGCTGAAATCCATGTAGCCAACATCTACCACTCTGCCTTCATCTATCTTCTAGATGACCTCTTCAAAAAAATTCAATCAAGTTTGTGAGACACTATTTACCATGCCCAAAGCCATGCTGACTATCCCTAATCAGTCCTTGCCTTTCCAACTGCATGTAAATCTTGTCCCTCAGAATCTCCCCTAACAACTTACTCACCATTGACATCAGGCTCACTGGTCTGCAGTTTCCCTGGTTTTTTCTTGCAGCCTTTCTTAGTATTAGGGTCTCCATGCTCGCTTTTTTAACATTGCATTTTACTTAACAATGGATTCTGGTTGTTCCATAGTATGCAGTCATCACCATTTACTGAATAAGTTTATTCTTTGCTTGAGATCTGATGAGTATTAATTTAACTCTGTAATTGTTTTTAAAGTTTACCTGCTGATTGTGGGGACATGCTCTACCTTGTTGTACTGGACTCTTTAGACTTGTTACCTTGCCAACGTGGCCTCTGTTGAACATGTCAAACAGCTTATGAAGTACTCAGGTTAAACTTGAAACGCTTCTGTCTCCATGGAGCTGAGCTCCTCCAGCACTTTGTTTTATTTCAGTGCTGTCTCCATGCCACATCCACGTTCAAACTATGGTTCATATTGAGTTTGTTGATCTTAGTGACATTTGCACATGGAGCACCCCTGACCCCTGGTAATGGAAAGTAACAGCGATCTCCCGTGAATAATTCTGTTAGTGGTCAGTATCCGAGTAACATCTGCTGGATATGCACATGTGTGAATGTGGGATGAAGATGGACCTGAGCTGAACCCTGAGATGCTTAATGCAGGAAGGATGACCTAGTCACTTAGAACCGAAGCAAACCAAGACACCAGTATGAACCGATCAGGGTGGTGATTACTCTGCATTTAGTTTCACTGCACAGGGGAAGGGCAATATCCTTGGGAACTCATTTAAAATGATTGCAATGTCTAAAAGAATTTAGAAGGTTTAGAATCCAAGAATGCATTACCCCAAAAACCTTCTGTGTTGTGGAATTTGTTGTAGCCAATCCAATAGAAGTCATAACATCTATCAAAGGGGTTTGAAAGTGAGGGGGAGGTTATGGGGAGAGGATGGTTTCACTCATGGGAGGGAGGGCAAAGCTAAGGGGTCATAAATGTAAGAGTTGCTAATAAATCCAAACTATCTTTCAAAAGAAAACTCTTTATCCAAAGAAGTGCTAAAATCATAAAACAGAAGAGGAAGTTGGCTATTCAGTCCATCGAGTCTGCACGCCCATTCAATGAGATTGTGATTGATCTGATAACTCTCAACTCCACTTTCCTGCCTTTCCCCCATTATCCTTAATTCCTTTCCAGATTAGAAAACCTGTCTGTCTCAGCCTCGAATATACTTCGTGACCCAGCCTCTACGGTAAAGAATTCCACAGATTCACGACCCTCTGAGAGAAGAAATTCCTCCTCATCACTGTCTGAAATGTGTGACCGCAGAGATTAGTGTGCGGAACTCACTACCACGTGGAATGGTTAAAATGAATCACATTGCATTCAAAGGGAAGCTGAAAAGTGGGTGAAGGAGAGAGGAAAATGCTGTTAGATGAAGAGTGGGAGGATGCTGGTGATAAGTGTAAACTCGAGCATAGACAGGCACCAGATGGTCTATTTTTCTGCAGTGCTTTCTATGTATATCTATGTTTATCCTTTTCCATGTGTCAGTTTTGACAGATTTGCCCAGGTCCGTCACCGTGATACTGCTTCAGGGAGGATCGCCCACAATGATTAAACCCAGAATGTTCCAGAATTTCTCCAAACTGTGGTACCTGTCGATCACTGATTTCAAACTGTCGCTGTTTAGCCACGCGTTTACCAGATCACCGAATGCAGAGAGCAGCCTTGGTCTGCTTGACCTTTCCGGCAACAAACTGGAGAGCTGCAGTGTTGAAAGCTTGGCATTTGCAGGTCTTCACGATCTGACTGAATTGAAGCTGAACAACAATTCACTTGATACTCTGAAACCCCTCTGGTTTTCAGGCCTGACCTTGCTGAAGAAGCTGCATATTCAGTTCAATAAAATCTCTTATCTTCCTCCACGCACATTTGAGGCACTGATCCAACTGTATCACCTTAATGCATCTTCAAATCTTATCCAGTATATATCCACAGATACATTCTATGGACTGGGCTCCCTCACTGACTTGGATCTATCCAACAATCAGCTGCTTTTCATTGACAGCAATGCTTTCGGACCCGTGAAGAGATTAAACCTTCTGTATCTGAATGATAACCAGCTTGAGTTGTTAGCCAAGGTCCCTGGCTCTACACAGAAGCTACGCCTGCACAGTAACCATTGGGAGTGCAGTTGTCAGTTGGTGCTATTGCTGGAAACCTGCAGCAAGGCAATAGAGGATCCAGGGAATCTGTTCTGCCAAAGCCCAGAGGATGTGAAAGGAAAACCTGTCCTGAATCTCAGTTTTAGTTACTGTTCATCCACGACTCTGCTCCCTCTGACAACTCCACTCCGTTCAACAACACCAGCCTTGCAAATCATTCCAACCATCAGCGTTCTAGCTATAATTTATGGATTTATAGGTAATCACACTTTTTTTTTAAATGACATTTTCTTTTTGGATTTTAGTAAAGCAAACCTGCAGAATAAATAAATCGTTCTGCTGCAGGATTTAAAATTGAGAATGACGAAACACTCTCTATTCTCTATTTTTGCACTTGGTAATTGTGTTGGCTTGGAATTTGTAGTTGAAATTGCCAGCAGTTCCTGTTATCACAGAATCACAGAGATCTAAACATAGAATTTTACAGTACAGAAGGAGGCTGTTTGATTTATCGTGTCTGTACTGGCTCCCAAAAAAGCTACCCAGCCATTTTCCAGCCCTATCTCTATAACTCTCCAAACTCATCACTTTCACTAGTATATCCAGTTCTCTTTTGAAACCTTGTATGGAAGCTGCATCCACCACTCTCCCGGGCAGGATGTTCCAAATCCTAACAAATCTAACTAAAGGCATTTTCTCCTGATGCTGCCACTTTACCTTGTTGCTTACTTTGTTGATTATTTGTAAATCTTCTACCCAACCCCTGCTCTCCTGGTGAAGCATCCCATCTTTTTCTGCTAGTGTGTGATCACCCTTGTGGAGTCAGCCAGAGGCCACCCTCTTAATGGTGCAAAAGGCGGCCAGTTAGTCAGTCATTCATTCGTGCCTGCTGTTCATGTGAGTGTAATTACCTAGTGCCAATCTTCTCCCCATGCCGGCGCACATTCTCTTTATCCAAACAATCATCCAGTGCTCAATTACCATGACTGTGTAAAACTGACAGAGACTTTTGGTGCTTGCACGTGTGAAGTAGTGAACCCAGAGTTTGCTGTTATGGACACCTTGCCTCCTAATGAGGTGAGCTGTTGTAGTCTTTGCAGCTGCTGTCAATGCTGTGAACTTCAACTCCTTCTGCAATATTTTCACTGTAATAAACATTGAAAAAGTAAGCTTTGCTAAATGCGATACAACTGAATTTTTAACCAAAGCACAGTCATCATAACGAACCATCAGTCTTGCTGGCCCTGAGAAACTACTTTTAGGAATCTAAAGAGAGGAACACCCTATATTCAATGGTAAGTCTGTATACTCTATTGCATAGTATATATTTTTCCAAATTTTATTTGATATTTGAGCTTCTATCTAAGCCACATAAATATGGCTCAATCTTTACTTTGCTCCCTGGAAAATGTTTGGTTTTCTGATTTGTCATCAGTGACTTCTCAAGAATGTGATTGGCTGCTTAGCCTGCTTGAGGATGTCACTGTTGCTAGGAGCCCAAGACTGGTTTATACATGGTGACAGGAAGTAATAGGGTGAATACAGCTAGCTAACCCCTTTGCATGTAGCTCCCTTCAATGTTGGCAGCTAATGAGATCTTCATAGCAGGCTGCAAAATGCATGCCAAAGAACAACAGAGCCATGCAGCAAAACAGGAGGCCATTCATTCCATTATGCCTGTGCTGGGTCAGATGGGCTGACTTTAAACAATGCGGGTGCAGTTGGCAAAGACATCATTTATTGACCATCCCTAATAACCCCTTGAACAGGACATGGTAAGCTGCCATTTTGAACACCGCAGTGTATGATGTGTAGTTTCATTGGGTAGTGTTAGGAAGGGAGCTCCAGCATTTGGACATAGTGACAATGGGGGAATGATGATAGAGATGGAATATGACTTGGAGGTGATGGTGTTACCATCTGTCTGCTGCCCTGGGTGGTGGAAGTTGCAGATTTGGAAGGTCCTTTCCATGTCTGTAATCTCAACATGGACCATTGTTTCATTTGGGTGTTTATAATTCTGCCTTTTAAGTTTCCGAAATGCGTTTGTCCATTCAAAACACCTTGAGCACAGAATGGCACCAAACTTTGTTTCCATTCACTGATCAATCAGATTTTTAGAGGAGAAGGAAACCTTAATAGTTTAAAACACACAGAATTCAAACAGAACAAACGTACAATCTGGAGTTACCTTTATCAGGGGATTTACTGAGTCACAGTTTGGATGGCACACTTGTTTCTACAGTGATCAGTTTGAAACGCTGTAATCTTTTTGTTAATTGAAAACTAATCCTTGATTTCATTACCTTTTCTTTCCAGGGGGATTTTTACTGGCAGTAGCTATCAGTCTGATTACCTGTTGTTGGAAATACTGGACGGGGGGGATACCGAAGAGCTTCATGATACAAAACAGAAAGAGGAGGGAGGGAACAAAGGGATGGAGTGAATCACCGATTGAGTTAGATACCAATAAATTGGAGGCTGTCTCTACAATTGCTTCACATCTGGCTGTTCATGAACTACAGAATGTTGAGGATAATCAAGAAGAACGAAGGCAGGGACGTATACACGTGTCCACAGAATTACAGAGAAACGTGGATAGAGAGAATGTTAACAGCAAGGTAATGCAACCTTGTAAGCCAGTGCCCAGTTCCCATCTAGCTGCTGATATTTCACATCTGCAGAATAAGGGAATTGACAATGTCACTGGCAAAGATATCCAACATGGAAAAGCGGGAAGCCGTGGAGACACAGAAACAGGTAACTTAGCCTTCAGTAGCTTCTAGGTTAAGTTTTATGTTTTTCCTTTTGGTTATTGAGGCAGGCCAGGACTTCAAACTCTGTGGCTTCACAATTTTTTTTCCCACTCCAGTGTGAAGCTTGTTGGGATGTTTTTATTAAGTTACGTTGCTGTTCAATTTGCCAGGAAGCTCAGGTATGTTTATCAATGGTGTGTCGAGCAAAGACCAGGAGAATCAGCTGAAATCTAAACTCTACCAGTTCCACTGGTTTCCAGCTATTATACGCAACAGATTACATATTAAATTCTTCACCTGGTCAATTCACATTGTTTGTTGACCAGATGTCATAGTGTTGATTCACTCATTTCCCACAGTACAAATTGGTGGTATAGTGGACAGTGAAGAAGGTTATCTAAGATTACAAAAAGATCTTGATCAATTGGGCCAATGGGCTGAAGAGTGGCAGATGGAGTTTAATTTGGATAAATGAGATGTTTTGCATTTTGGTAAAACAAACAAGGACACGACTTATACAACTAGTAGTAGGGCCCAGGGTCATGTGGTAGAACAGAGACAGCTAGGGGTTCAGGTACATAATTTTTTGAAATTTGTGTCACAAGTAAATAGGGTAGTTAAGAAGGCATTTAACACACTTACCTTCACTGCTCAGACCTTTGAGGATAGGAGTTGGGACGTCATGTTGAGGTTTCACAGCACATTGTTGAGGCTTCTTCTGGCATACTGTGTGAAGTTCTGGTTGCCCTGTTATAGGAAAGATATTATTAAACTGGAGAGGGTTCAGAAAAAATTTACCAGGATTTTGCCGGGAATGGACGGTTTGAGATACACAAGTAGACTGGAAAGGCTGGGACTTTTTTTCACTGGAGTGAGGGATAAGCTTATAGAGGTTTATAAAATCCTGCGTAGATAAGGTGAATGACCAGGGTCTTTTCCCTATGGTGGAGGAGTTCAAAACTAGGGGATTATTTTTAAGGTGAGAAGAGAAAGATTTAAAAAGGACGAGGGGCCACTTTTTTTTACACAGAGTAGCTTGTGTGCAGAATGAACTGCCAGAGGAAGTGGTGGATGCAGTCACAGTTACAATGTTTAAAAGACACTTGGATAAGTACACGAATAGGAAAGTTTTAGAGGGATATGGGCCAAGCGCAGGGAGGTGGGGCTAGTTTAGTTTGGGAACACGGTTGGCATGGACTAGTTGGACCAAAAGGTCTGTTTCTATGCTGTATGACATACATCAGGCATTGCTTGTGTTTATCCAAGGCCACTTTTATCTTTGCTGATTGTATAACCATGCTGTCTTGACTCCCTGCATTTGTGGCCTTGCCCTATTTGATGGTGTATTCCCATCTCTTATCCTGTTTCCGTGTACGTGGTGATTCTTCAGCTTTGTCCCAATTATGTTTCACTAAAAACACTTCTGACTGAAAATTTAATCCTTAGGTAACTGAAACTGATTCAACCACTTCAGTCTAAAGGGATCAGATTAATGCAAGCTACAGTAATGAGGCTGGCTTTAGTGAGCTAATCCTAGTGAGCAATTGCAGTCTCAGGACTCAGCTTATTTTTTGATTCATTCACAGGATGTGGGTATCGCTAGATTAGCTAGTCATCTACATAGAACATAAAACAGTACAGCACAGGAACGGGCCCTTCAGCCCACAATGTTGTGCTGAACATGACACCAAATTAAACTAATCTCTTCTGCCTCCCCTTAGTCCATATCCCTCCATTCCTTGCATATTCATGTACTTATCTAAAAGTTCCTTAAAATCCCTTATCATATCCACTTCCACCACCACTCCTGGCAGTGTGTTCCAGATTCCTACCACACTCTGTATAAAAAAAAACTTATCCCTCACATCTCATTTGAGCTTGTCCCCTCTCACCTTAAACGCATGCCCCCTAGAATTAGACGTTTCAACTCTGGGGGAGAAAGATTCTGACTGTCAACCCTCTCTGTGCATCTCAGGAGACTTCTGTGACGTCTCCTCTCAGCCTCCGCCGCTTCAAAGAAAACAACCCAAGTTTTTCTAACCTCTCCTTACAGCTCATAACCTCTAATCCAGGCAGCATCCTGGTAAACCACCTCTCCACCCTCTTGGCCATTTATAACTATCCCCAGTTGCCATTGAGAGGGGGTTGAGGGTAGGAGAGTTGCCTTCTTGAACCCCTGCAGTCCACCCACGTTTCTGTGATAACAAGGTGTAGAGCTGGATGAACACAGCAGGCCAAGCAGCATCAGAGGAGCAGGAAAGCTGACATTTCGGGTCTAGACCCTTCTTCTGAATATGCTTTTCTGCTCCTCTGATGCTGCTTGGCCTGCTGTGTTCATCCAGCTCTACACCTTGTTATCTCAGATTCTCCAGCATCTGCAGTTCCTACTATCTCTACACCCACATTTCTGTTAGGGAGGGAATTCATGGATTTTGTCAGCAGATTTAGTCATTGAATTTGCTATGGTAGAGTTTGAACCCATGTCCTGAGAGCATTCACTCGGGTCTCTGGGTTACTAGTCCAGTGACATTGTTACTACATCCTTACCTCCCCTTTCATCTGGTTTTGTTATCAGAATCCCAAAGTCCATGTGAGCATTGAGCCCAAAGTCTACACTTCAAAAGTAATTATTAGCTTCAAGTGCTTTTTGATGTGGTGAATGAAGGATGAGGAAACATCATTTTTTTTTTGTTAGATATATATAGAGCTGCTTCTACTGGGAACATAAAATTCATAAGAATGTAATTATAAACAAAAGTTGCCACAGTCACAATGGACCATTGGGCTGCTCTCTCATTACAGGGAGGTGGCTGGTGGTGGTTTAACCTGAGGGTCACCGTGCCTCAGGGGAGGGGAGAGGTTAAGGAGGAGAGTCCTTCATGGTAACTTCAGCCTGTGTGGGAATTGAACCCAGACTGTTGGCCTCACTCGAACCAGCCATCCAGTTAAGTGAGCTAACCAACACCCATAAAATGTAACTGTACTAATCAAAGAATATTACAATATTGATGTAAAATAAATAATGTCTGGATTTTCAGTTTGGAAAATAAAATCATATAACACATCCTCCGTTTTTATTTGGTGAGTTATTAGAGCTGTATATCACAGAAATAGACCCTTCCGTCCAACTCTTCCATGCTGACCAGATATCCTAAATTAATCTAGTCCCATTTGCCAGCATTTGGCCTATATCCCTCCAAACCCTCCCTTTCGTGTACCCATCCAGATGCTTTTTAAAATGTTGTAATTGTACCAGCCTCCACCACTTCCTCTGGCAGCTTGTTCCTTATGCGCACTACCCTCTGTGTGAAAACATTGCCTCTTAGGTCCATTTTAAATCTTTCCCCTCTCACCTTAAACTTATGCCCTCTAGTTTTTGACTACCCCATCCTGGGGAAAAGACCTTGTCTGTTCACCTTATCCATGCCCCACATGATTTTATGAACCTCTATAAGGTCACCCCTCAGCCTGCAAAATCCAGGGAAAAAGCCCCAGCCTATTCAGCCTTTCCCTTTGGCTCAAACCCTCCAACCCTGGCAACATCCTTGTAAATCTATTCTGCACCCTCTCAAGTTTCACAGCATCCTGCCTATAGTAGGGAGACCAGAATTGCACAGAGTATTCTAGAAGTGTCCTAACCAATGTCCTGTACAGCCATAACATGACCTCCCAACTCCTACACTCAATGCACTGACGAATAAAGGCAAGTGTACCAAATGCTGTCTTCACTATCTTGTCTATCTGCGACTCCACTTTCAAGGATCTATGAACTTGCATGCAAGGCCTCTTTGTTGAAAGGAAATTAAAATATAAGCTTGTAAATGAAAGCATAAAATACTTTGTTTTAAAAATTTGAACATTTCATTATTTAGGTGCTTTTTCTTTGTTTCAGTGGTGGGGAAACTCTGCGAAATAGCACAAACATATTTGTCAAATAGTTCCTACTTTGGACTATGTGTGAGCAATCAGGACAAACGACAGTATCAAGGTCAGGAGGCACCTTTGTCTGAGAGACTGCGGACAGACACCAGAAATTTTGCAGGGAACTTGAGGAACATCAACAGTGAAGCTCATGATCCTGAGACTGAAGGTGAAGACTCTCCCAATGTGAATGACCTTACTGTCCTCTGCAATGAAGCTGTAAGCTCCCAGTTGGAATTCAAAACTGGGAACCAGGAGAAAGTTGAGATTATGGAATTACAGGACATCCAGACAGAGAAATTGGAGAAAAATGAAGCCAAAGCATTGTACAGGGAGGAGAACGAGATATTGGAGGATGCATGCCCTCCAGGAAAAGTAATTGAATTGAATGAAACTTCTGTGAATGACTGCACCAGTGAAATGAATAGAAAAATACTGTTGGATGCAACTAATCCCATTGGATCCAAAGTAGGAACACGTGGAGTAACAATTGATGGATACTCGAGAATAGCAGCGATTTCTATGGGAGGGAAACTATTGAGTTCAGCTTTATTCAACGGAGATGGAGATACTCCATTACCAGATGTAGAAGGTACTGATAAACAATGTTTAGTACGGTAAACGATTCATATGCATTAGTGAGTGTTTGTGAAAAGACCTTCAACACAATAAACAGAATATAAAGACATTTGACAGAAGTGAAATAATCTGACACAGGGCAGTAAAGTAATTGCTGGCATCACACAAGAGTTCAATTGAAAATTCTTGGGTGCAGGTTTGGTAGGTTAAAGAAAACATGGGGGGTAGAGTAAACATTACAGTGTAATTGCAGCTGCTATAATTTACACATGCACAATTGACATGTAGCGCATTGTTTGAGAATCACAGAATTGTTACTGCGCAGAAGGAAGCTGTTTGGCCTATCATGCCAGTAGTAATTATGTTATCCAGTGCCTATCTCCTGCTTTTTCTTCATATTCCTGCACACCATTTCTATCCAAATAACCATCTGATGTCCTCTTGAATGCCTCTACTAAAATGGAACATTAGCATAAACACTACAGTGCCAAACAGCTCCAATTCTACAATTCCCCCTTGAGAAGAAGTTCCTTAAAATGTATAATGGGATGAGGGGGAATCTGTTATAGGCCCTTTCACAGAGGCAGTAAACGGCGATAGAACATAGGAATTAGGAGCGGGAATATGCAATTCAGCCCTTTGAGCCTGAATGAGGTTAGCATTTAACTAGATCATGGCTGATCTTATCCTGGTCTCAACTCCACTTTCCTGCCTGCTCCCCATGCCCCCTTATCATCAGAAACGTGTTTATTTATTTCTTGAATCTGTTGATTGATTCTACCTCCACTGCACTCTGGCAGTGAGTTCCACAGATTCACAACCCTCTGAGTGAATTAATGGGAGCAGCTTGGTAGCAAGGTACACTTCATCTGAAAAGCAGAACTCTCAAGTTTACTACATTACACTTAGCCAATCCACCTAACCTGCACATCTTTGGACTGTGGGAGGAAACCAGGGCACCCAGAGGAAACCCACACAGAAACGGGGAGAATGTCCAAACTCCACACAGACAGTCACCCTGAGGCTGGAATCGAATCTGGGTCCCTGGCGCTGAGAGGCAGCAGTGCTAACCACTGTGCCGCCCAATGATGGCAGCTAATTCGATCGAGAAAGCTCCACAGTTGGTTGGTTATCTTATTCACATCCAACATCTCTCTGCGCTCACATTCCAGCCGAGACTGGTTTGATTCATAAGCTTCCTGTCCTTAATTGAGATGAGCTAATTATGTCCAAAATAGGAATCAATTTACAGCATTCCTGGACTAATAGATCTTGATGTCCAAACCTTATTAGCCTTAATGGTAATGGCTGTTCTCCACTGGTTCGGGACCCCACATTACCATTTAATCCATAGCTTAACCTGGGAGATGAATACATAATGTCTGAATTTATAATGTAGAACTGAACCACTCTGCCCCCACAGCTGTATGAGGATGGTATTGGTGTTTTTTACTCGACTGGGTTATCTGACCCTTCTCGTACTGACCTCTTACAAACAAAAATATGCCTGAAAGATTTGCCTTTAGAATTTATCAATGTAATCAAAACTTAGGTCAACAAGACAGTACACAGCTTATTCTAAAAATCTTCCTACAATATTTTTACAGATCGATCCCATACAACTCCAATACTTCCACCGAGCAGCAATCCATTTGGAAAAGAGAAGTGTAAGCTAGTAAACAATAAGAGTATCAGCCTGCCAAACATCTGTGGGTCTAGACATCACACAAAGAAAAAAATACAAGAAAGTCAGGTTTGTTCAAGAACCCTCGCCGTGGTTAATGTTAAACCAACAGCTCACACCACCTTCACATCTGTGGAAAAGTGGCCCAACATGAACAGGGAGATGGTTAGTGAGACTTTTGGACATTTCCTCTCTGCTGGTATTCAAACTTGTGTGGACGTGGGATGTTCTTCAGAAAACAAACTTAAGTGTAAAGCTCAGAAACAGATCCAGGATCGTACTCCTTGCACAGCCACGCTTCCAAACGAAGAAGAAATCACCTTAAAATCTTCCAAGTCTCAAACTAAGCCCAAGGAAAATAATCTGTTACAGTCATTGGAGATGAAAGGAGGCTTGGATGACCAATACTTTGAGTGGCAACAGAATTTGTCTGGAGACTTTCAGCTGAGTTCAAGCACCGATCTACAGACTTCCAACTATTTACATGTTAGTCAAGGTGCATTTTCTGAAACTTCACATCAACAGGACAGTCATTCCACACTCTCTGGTCATTCCTGTCAGCAACTGAGATTCAATCTGTCTCAAAATAGCACTTTGCAACAAGGCAGTAAGCATCATTCTGAAACTTATCAATTTACAAGTGGACACAAACTGGTAGCTGACACGGAACTCAATGTATTTGATACGACTGATGGTGAAGAGAACGCTGTATTAGACACCTCTAGTCTACCAGACATTGAGGAATTTGCTCACAGTAAAGGCAAGAAACCAGAGCACATTTCTCCTGTCGTACAAAAATTTGTAGCAGGTATTTCCGAACATGTGCACGCTGGAACTTCCATTAGCAAAGATGTTGCTTTAGTGGACAAAGCCCAAACGTCAGATAGAGATCAAGTTGTGTTGGGTGGAGCTTTCACTAAAGAAACTGTACAGTTGCCTGAGAGTTCTGCAGCACATGCTGGTGGTACAATTGCAAGCAGCATGATGACAGAAGATGAAATGAGTTCAGTTGGATCAGTCAGTACATCCTTTAGCTGGCCGTACACTTGGAGTGCACAAAGTCCAGAGCATTGGAGCCAAAGTAGCACTACACTTGAGTCTACTCTGGCCTCAAATCACAGCAAGGCAAACCTTTCACCAAATGTTATGTCAAAGAACGATGAACCTGGGCAATGGGATTCCAGCACAGCAGCCAAGGAGAGTAACCTGGATTGGGAAGACGATCGATCTGAGGCAATACCCTTCCAGCGTGTCACCCATAGAAATAGTGCACCAATAAACAGTGAACCAAAGTTGGAACGGGAAAGACATTTTCAATCTCCAGCTATAACATACTCAGAAAAAATCTCTGACTATAAAGGTGCAGAGATAAGGAGAGACTCCAGTCTGAATCTTGGGGATTGTGATCACAGGTCGAAATATTCCAAAAATATGTACAAATCAGTCTTTAAAATAATCGAGCAAGTGCAACATCCAGTTCCATTTGATGCAAGCCGGTACAAAGTGTTGCAGGACAGGTCGGCTCTCGCTGTCCAGGCACATAAGGCCAAACATAAATCAGAAAGTGTTGTGATTCTGCAATCCCCAAGTAAAATTGGTCTCCAGCCAATTCAATCTTCTGGGTGTGCTCTTGAAATGAATTACCCAAATGTGGTGTACAGACGGTGGTTTTTGAAGAGTACCTTTGGCAATACAGTGGCAGAACGGATTCCCACTGCTGTACGTGAAGGAGGCGATTTAAGCTCATCGCCAGATTTTCAGTTCAGAAAGACTGCCAGGTGTTCAGCCCGTCATCAGATAGGGGCTGAGGCAAAGGGACCTGTGGGTGTCACAGGAGTCCAACAGAATGCTTGTGTACCTGGAGAGTTTCTGCAACAGTACCCACCCACCAGAGAAGAACTCCAGATGGATGATGAATTAATGCTAATCAACACGTTTTACAATTTGAAGAAAACATTAAATATTGAATAAAAGTCACATAACCTGACAATTTCTTGTATATGCCATCAACATTACTGAAAAAGTTATTTTAATGCTGCAATTGCTAACATTTGATTACAAACAGTAAGGGTAAGTGGTCCCAGTGTAAAGAGGTCTGACAGCCAATAGAGCCTTAGAGACATTACAGCACATCTGGAGGCTTTTTGGCCCATCGAATCCATGCTGGCTCTCTGTGAAGCAATCCAGTTGATCCCATTCATCATCTTCACTCAAAGGGTTACAGATCTTTGGAATTCTCTATCCCAGCGAGCTGCAGATTTTCAGTTGTTTGTTATTTGAGGCTGAGATAGATAAACATTTTGAGCTCGCGTCAATTTACAAGATTTGCATTGATGCACGAGTGTAAGTAAATAATCAGTTTGAAATCTGCAGCATTACTGTTGTGATATTGCTCTGATAAAATCACTCAGAAACAATTAATTGAACTAATTTACCCTTTGGGCCCAGATAGCAGCACTAATTAGAAGTCCAAAGCTCTGGTGCTTATGTACATTATCTGAATCCTCAAGCTGTGAAGCAACTGCTTGGTAATTCTTTTCCGCTGTATCAGCCCAGCTCAGCTAGTATCTCTGTTCCTTGTCAGTTCGAAGATTGTGGGGTAAGGCTCCATTCTCAAAACCTTAGCAGCTAGGATGACATTTCAGCGAGGTACAGAGAGATGCAGTTCTTGGTGAGGTTATGTCAGCCAACATTCCTTTCTTAACCAGCACCACCGAAAGTAGGTTAAAGTATCCCTCAAAACAACGGAATCACTTAGCACACCCAGTGAGAACTGCTGAAATGTCGCTGGAACAAACCCTGCTGAGTGTTTCCATCCACTTCTATTTTTGCTTCAGTTTTCCAGCATTTAAGTTTGTATTTGGTGAACACATTTGAGTGATGTAAATGCAAATCTTTTCTGAAAATACATATTGTAATTTCAATAAAACAAATAGAGCGCTCGTTAAATTTTAAAATCAGAACTGAATTACTACACATGGACAAGCAGCATTATTGTCATATGGTTCACTGGAGGGAACGGTAAGGAAATAATGTTGCAGTTCTAAAGCCCAAGCTATTGGTGGCATAGTCAACAGAGAAGAAAGTTTTTCTAAGATTACAAAGGGACCTTGATCAATGGGTCAATGGGCTGAAAAATGGCAGATGGAGTTCAATCTGGATAAATGCAAGGTGTTGCATTTTGGTGCAACAAACAAGGGTAGGGTTTATACAATTAACAGTAGGGCTTTGGGTAGTGTTGTAGAACAGAGACACCTAAGGGTTCAGTTACATAATTCTTTGAAGTTTGTGTCACATATAGATAGGCCGGTTAAAAAGTTGTTTGGCACGCTTATCTTCAATGCTTAGCCCTTTGAGTATAGGAGTTGGGAAGTCATGTTGAGGTTGTACAGGATGTTGGTGAGGCCTTTTCTGGAATACTGTGTCCAGTTCTGGTCTCCCTGTTATAGTAAGGATATTATTAAGCTGGAGAAGGTTCGGAAGAGATTTACCAGAATGTTGCTGGATTTGGAAGGTTTGAGTTATAAAGAAAGGCTGGATAGGCTGGGACTTTTTTCACTAGAGTGTAGGAGGTTGAGCAGTGACCTTTGTAGAGGTTTAAAAATTAATGAGAGATATAGATAGCATTAATAGTAGTTGCCTTTTCCTTAGGATGGGAGATTTCAAGACAAGGGGACGTAGTTTTAAGATGAGAGGAGAGATGTTTAAAAAAGACATTAGGGGCAAATTTTTTACACAGGTGGTTTGCGTGTGGAATGACCTTCCTGAGGAAGCAGCGGATGTGAGTACAATTGTAATGTTTAAAAGACAAAGTACATGAATAGGAAAGGTTTAGAGGGATATGGGCCAGGAGCAGGCAGGTGGGACTAGTTCAGTTTGGGATTATGTTCGGCATGGACTGGTTGGACCAAAGGTTTCCATGCTGTATGACTCTATGACTGTATGACCTGCTTGTTCTAATGTGGTAGAGGGAAAACCACTTCCTGGTCAAACTAGAAGGGACCCTTGTGATTAACAAAATAAATTTTATTACATGTTAGCAGCCAGTTCTAGGTTACAATAAGATGGCAGATTTTGGGCTCTTATGGTGCAGTGGTAGTGTCCCTACCTCTGGACATGAAGCCTCCAATTCAAATCCCACCTGCTCCAGAGGTATGTAATAACCTTTCTGAACAGCTGGATTAGAAAATATCCATGATAGACTTTGCTACAGAGACTCTGAGGAGGACCGTATGTTGGGTCTTACTGCTTTGAGATCCTAAGCTGTACTGTCGACGTGGGTGGGTGGTGTCCATGGCACTCAGTGTTAACCATTTCATACCCATATACCACAACATGCAGTCAGCAGATTCAATCACAACCAGTGGACAAGTGTTGCAAAGGAGTCAGTCACGGATTGGACGCCACGGCAACTGTTAAAGGAATGAATGCAAAGGCAGGGAAAATGGAGGAATGGAAGTGGTATGGATGAGGGTATGGGGAAGGGAAAGGCTTGGAGGCAAGGGAGGGGGGAGTGAAAGGGAAAGGTTAGGGGCAGTAAAAAGAGATGAAGAGGCAGAGATGCTTTTGGGGTGAGGGGCAATAGAAGGGCCCAGAGGAAGATGGAAAGATCAAGGGTGAACCTTCCCATGAGGAAATTGGGCAGGGTTATGGTGGGTGAGGCATTGGAAGAGAAATACTTCCAATCAGAGAAGTTTACTAATGGATGAAAGTTTATTGTTTCAAGTGTTGGTTTTCTGTTTTATCCAGTCTCTTGTTCTCTTTCTCTGCATGTTTCCTTGCCCTTTTACAATCATTTGACTTGATCATCTTCCTTCAACAACATTCCAGGTCCTCTACTTTTGTTCATATTCCAGTTTTACACAAAGTGGAGAAATCTTGTTTTTGTTTTTAAAATGTGTCAAAAAAATTCAGAATCTAGTTTGTCAGTTACCTTTTTACAAGCTGAGTCAGGTGCTTTGAACCGTCGGAGAGGATCTCAATTTAAAAGAAATGAACCTGTTTTAGGTTAGGTATTCAAATCTGGCAGCACCTCAATGAAATACAAGCTGAATGTTTTGAAATATTAAAGGTGAGCTCTTGTGGTGCAGTGGTAGTATCCCTATCTCTAAGCCTGGAGGCCTGGCTTCAAGTCCCACCTGCCTCAAAGGTGTGTCATTACGTCTCTGTCAGGATTGATGGAGAGGGGGCATTTCCACCCATGAGAGAGCTTGGCTAAAAATAGATGGTCTCCCATTTAACATGTACAAGAGGAGGAACTGCTTCTCCTGAAGTCTGTAGAGCTCCCTGTTCCAGAATGCAGTGGAGTCTATGTCATCAAATACATTTAAGGCTGAGATGGAAAGATTTCTGATCTTCAAAAGTTTTAAGGGTCTGGAGAGCAAACAGGAATGTGGAGTTGAGGTCACAAGTGGATTAGGCATGATCATGTTGATTGGTAGAGTCACTGTGGGCTGAATGGCCTATGCTTGCCTCTTACTACTTCTTATGCAATAATTGTTTTTGATGGTTTAAAGGTTCAAGAATTGAATTCACTGTTGTCAGGCAAGGCATAAACCAACTGAACCCATCTGCCCCTGCAGGTACTCGGATAAACAAATGTATTTTTTTTATTTCTTCAAACTGTGGGCATCACAGGCCAGGCCAACATTTATTGGCCATCCCTGATTGACCTGCAAATGAATGGCTCTCTGGGCCATTTCAAAGGACAGATAAGTGTCAACTACATTGCTGTGGGACTGGAGCCATATGTAGGCCAGACCAGGTAAGGACGACAGATATCGCTCCCTAAAGAACATTAATGAACAGAAGGGCATTAATAGGACTTTATGATGATTAACAATTGTTACTATGGGCTTAGCTTTTTAAAAAAAGTTGTCAAGCTGTAGTGTGAGCAGGTACAGTTTGAGGAAGGTGTTTTTATTTTGGATGGGAGCAGTTACATTTAGTAGACTTCACCAATTAATGATGAGAACACACTTTCCCTAAAATAACAAAGCAACTTTGGATTTAATGACATTTATCACAATGACAAAATGACCAGACTCCTCACAAAGAGTCAATCCATGGCTGCATGCAGCTGTTTCTTTTAATTCATTTTTTAACATTCACACAAAACATAGACACTTTATTTAAGAACTGTATAAAATCATGACATCTTTGCTTCAAAGCAATACTGTATAGTTCAGAAAACAAGATACAAGAAAAAAGGTCAACAGAATCTTCTTAGGTTCATAAAATTGTACGGCACAGGAGGAGGACATTCAGTCCATCGAGTCTATGCCAGCTCTTTCGAAGAGCAATCCAATTAATCCCACTACCCTGTCTTTCACCAGAATCCTGGCAAGTTCTTTTCATCCAAGTATTTGTCCAGTTCCCTGTCAAAAGTTCCTATTGAATCCATGTCTATCAGACAGTGCGTTCTAACCCCTAACAGCTGGCTGCCTCTGGTTCTTTTACCAATGATCTTTCATTGTCTTAGATACTGAGCTGTGCACGAGGCAACAGATTTTATTTTTTTGCAGATATTTTCACATACGTAAATGATCAAAAACACATGAATGACTGACTTAACAGGATATGGAAGCTCTGTCTTAATGAGTGGCATGCCACAACATTTATATTTACAAAACAAAAACTGTGTGTTAAATTCCCTGGCTGCTATTTTGTACTTAGATGGGTTGCATGATCCTGACCCAGCCCAACTCATCAGCATGCTCAAGGTGATGCATGCATTTGTTTCTCGCGATTACATCTGTCCCATTACAGGGCACTTGTTCAGAGGAGAGGGTAATCTTGGGGAAGGATTGGTCAACTGAAGCTCCCTGCACTACAGCTGAGCCAATGGTCTGTCAGAGCTCTTGGAGCATGGTCAATGGCTTCCCATCGAAAACAAAAATCATTGGTTGGCTATCATGATTGATCATAAATGACACCAATGTATACAGCTTCTTTCATTGAAAACTTGCCCTCTGGATTTGCATATTACGCTAACATTTATCATTATTTAAGTACACAATGCTCATTTGAATTTGGCAGTGTTCTGATCTTGCTTCAGTTGAATCCCATGTTCTACCAAGGCCTGTCCCTGGTGTCACCCAAAAAAGCCAAAGCTCGGTAGTTTCAAGGGGTCTGTGTCCATTTTACCAACCCAAGCAAAAGCAAATACACCTCGCATGAGTCAATGTACAGTTGCCATTCAACTCCCGCCACCCCCCCCCCACCTCCCCCCTCCCCCTGCCCTCGCTGGTGCGGTCTGTGAAGTTGTTATGAAGTTTCTGCATTTACTTTGATGCAACAATGATAACCAGATTCAAATGTTTGCACAACGTGAAAGCTGCCCTCAGTAACACATCTTTCACACTGAGGCTAAGTGAGTGGTGACTGTAGACACAAGGCACTCCCAATATCTTCTAAAGCTTATATACAAATGGTACACGTTACATAAGCATGTATGTGCCCCTGTTTATGTTCAGTGGCTTAGAGAGTCTTGCTTGGGGTGGGGGGTAGGGGTGCAGAGTGGAGACAAGGCTAACACAAATTATAGCATCTAAGTGGCATTAGGCATTGTACACTGTAGAACATAGCTATTGTGGCTAAAATAGTAAATGATACAATTTGTGAGTTCAGTTTAAGAGATTCTATTTGTTTTGAGGACCTGGTCTATCATACATACCCCACTGGTTGTGCTTTTGTTTTCCCTTTGTTTGTTCACTGGAAAAGAAAAATGCATCTAACTAGTTCAGACTATTTCTGGATTCAATTCATGTACACTCAATCACTAAATCTAGCATTTCTCCAGAATACCGACACAAAAGATCAAGGCAGACGGGAAAGAACTGGGCACTGTAGTGAATGGATAGACTTGAGAACTGTTTGAGAAGTTGTAGCACTTGCCCTACGTTTCCATATTTTCCCTTTTGATATCAAGCTTCCAGTGCCTGGCTGCATTCCCTTTACGTTGAGAGACAAAAAAACAATGTACTTGTCAAAATCATGTACAGCCACATACTCATGTTAGGCTGATTGCAGCATGTATCCGTGCTGGATGACATTTAGTTGCAGAATGGATAAAAAAAATGTTCAGAAAGTTTGATAAATGGCTTGACAGTCTGCAATATAAACGAGATAGCCCACCTCTCCTCTATCGCACTGAGAGCAAATTGTATTTGCAAATATAACAGACTGATAATATCTGCAACAGTTTGCTTGCTCCCACATGTCATCTGACTTTTCCAGCTCAGATCTTCATCTGTGCTTCATCCTTTCACATTGATAACTGGAACGTTGCTCTCAGCTCAGTTGGATTGAAGGCAACAGGTTAACACTGGAGACTTGGGTTAAAAAAACATCCGACTGCACAAGATGCATCTGAGATGGCAATTCCTCCTGCACTTTGTTTTGAAATGAGTTTGTACACTTAACACAATGACCTTATTACGATTCTTGTCCCTTTGGCACCAAAAATTTCTTTGTGAAAGAGGTTGATAGAGCAACTTCGGCATGTGAATAGTGGAAGGCTTGATGCTTTGTCCACACATGCACTAAATGCCACGGATACTATTCAGTAGAAAGCACCAAAGACAATTGTTCAGCCACAACTAAAATTGTACCATTCATCTCCAGTGTGCTGTGTGTCAATAAATATACTGTGCCTTACATGGTAAACTGCACACATTGCATTCTACATGATATAAAAACATATAAAATAAGACCGTTGTCTGTTTCTGACCTCCTCCTCTGCACGCTGCTCCTGGTTGAGTCATTCAATTATTTTTCAAGGTTTGATCAGCGTAACATCACCAATGAGTATGCCTTTCAATCTGTAAACTTGTATCTTCAAATGATCAGAGCAGCTTCCTTTTTAAATAGATGGAGCCACGTGCCCCACTGCTTGGAGAGAATGGCAAATTTGCAGGTACAAAATGTGGGTCTTCATTCTTGCAGGACCAGTGTTCATAGCTGTGTTTCACTCCTTGCCTCTTCATTGGAAGGGAACAGCCGATATGAGCTGCTTTTCTGGCTATGGGAACCATTTTGAACATTGGCCAATGGGTCTGAGCGTATCAGATACCTAAGCAAATACACAATAATCTAGTTAGGAGCAGTAAATTGCATTGAAATACTCTGTATCTCCCATCAACTTAATTGGCATTTAATGAAATGGTGAAAGTGTCAGAACTTGGCTTTGCCTGGTTAGCAACTAGCGTGAACTGTTGGCTGATTCCACTATTGGCAACAGTGTGCTTCAAAGTTTTAGAACGGCTTGATTTAATCACTATTGAAGTCATTAGAATTTATGGGCTCAGGAAAAGACCATTATTCAATCCAGCTTGTTGGTTTTTAATGGATGTCTCTTACTTATTTACTTTCTAATTACATTCCTGCACCTCATCCATCTTCAGGACACAGGAACATTAATTAGGAGCAGGAATCCACCCAGCAACTTGAGCCTTCTCCACTCGCCAATAAAATCAGGGCTGATTGAATTGTGGTCTCAACTCCACTTTCTTGTTTGCCCATAAAATGTATCATTACCTACACTGTACCCACATTTCCTAAACGTACCTTTACCATTCCTCAATTACAGATTTTTAAAATAAATTCATTAAGTACCAACATCTTCAGATGTGGGAATCAAACATATGTCTCCTGTGGATTAGACTGAATATTGGGATCACCAAATAGCCAACATCACCATCTCCCCAATTAAGCTACAATGAATAGCAAACTAGAAACTATTTAACTTTTATTTGATCGGTAATAGTCTGTGAATTTATATTGCTATTGTATAGGAAAATGTTACTGTCATTCTTAGCTTATTTCTAAATTAATCAGTTTTAATTGTGTCCTTCACATTCGAAGCCTTTGCCATGGTGAAGAGTTTTGTTAGTCAATTCCAGTTGGGTTTGGTTGAATGCAGTCCCAGTTGTGCATTTGAGCCAATAAACTAAATGATACATTAGTTCAGTACTGAGGAGGTGCTGCTATGTTGGAGATACATTCTATTGAGTTGGATATTAACCCAAGGGCCTATTTATCCAATCAGGTGGAGGTAAAAGATCCCATGGCAGAATTTGAAGATGACCAAAACAGAGATATCTTTCACTAACTCCAACAACAAAAAAAAAAGATTGTAGCTGATCTTTTGCTGTTTCTGGGACTTGCAACGTATGAATTAGCTGCTGGAAATTTTTACATCATGACAGTAACCACATTTAACCAAAGTAAACTCACTTGGGAATATTTAATGGATATGACAGTGTTTAAATGTCTTTCTAATCTTGGAAATTTCAAAATCGAAGGAGCTTTCTCAACCCTGAAATGAAACCAGCCCAAATTCTTTGTTATAAAATATTTTCTGATATTCATAAAGTTGATTTTATTGCTCACTTATGATATCTCTAAGAAGTCCAGAACTTCATGATTGAGCATCCAGAATGTATCTAAAGCATTAGATAGTGTTAGACAAGTATTTTGAACAGAAAAACACTCTTCCTCTCTTGTCTTGAACAGCCTGATTTGTGCTCCCCCTACTATTTTTTATAGCATCTTTAAATAGTCAGTGAGATGTTAACGCAGCACGATGGTTGTCAATGGCAACTTTCAGACCCTCCGTTTCAGGAAAAGATGTTCTGACATTGGTCACCAAAGGTAGCAGGACAGATTGGATAATATTTGGGTGAGGTAGTGAACACAAGAGCAGGGATGTAATGCTGGGCCTATATAAAACAAGGGTTAGGCCACAGCTGGAGTTTTGGTGTGTAATTCTTCCTGCAATGTGTTCACTAGAACAAAATTGCTCTGATACAGTTATACAGCACAGAAGCAGCCGTTTTGGTCCAACTTGTCAAGGCCAATTGTGTTACCAAACCAAGCTAGTCCCACTTGCCTGTGTTTGGCCAACATCCCTCTAAACCTTTAAATGTTGTAACTCTACCTGCATCTACCACTTCCTCTGGCAGTTCATTCCACACATAAACCACCCCGTGTATGTAAAGGTTGCCCTTCAGCTTAAAGCTTTCTCCTCTCACCTAGAATTATGTCCTCTAGTTTTAGACTCTCCTATTGTAGGGAAAAGACCTTTGCTAGTCACCTTACCTAGGCCCGTCATGATTCTACAAACCTTTGTAAGGTCACCATTCAACCTCCTATGCTCCTTGAAAAATGTTCCAGACTTTCCAGCCTCTCACTATAACTCAAAATCTATAGTCCCTATAACATCCTTGTAAATCTCTTCTGAACCGTCTCCAATTTAATAACATCTTTCCTATAGCAGAGCGACCAGAACTGTACACAGTACTCCAGAAGTATGGATGAGATTTACAAGAATGCCAGGGTTTGAAAATTCCAGATTTGAGGAAACGGGCTGAGCTTGTATTCCTCAGAATAGAGGAGGCTGAAGGGTGACTTAATTGGGGTTTACACAATAATGAAGGACATGGATAGAGGGGATGGGGAAGATCTCTGTCCCTTAGCAGAGAGGTCAGTCACAATGGGGGCACAGATTTAAAGTGATCGGCAGAAGGATAAGAGGGGACCGAAGGAAAAAAAAAAGGGTGATGATCATCTGGAACTCTGCCCAGTTTGGTGGAGTTGAGGTGGAAACCCTCAATTCACTTGAAAGGAATCTGGATCTGAAGGGCTGGGACCTGAAAGGCTAGTAAGTGGGATTAAACAGGCAACTAGTTTATTCAGCTGGCTGTGATGGCAATTTCTCCTCTTCATGCAAATCCCACTCTGGTGAATTTCCTCTTTAATCTAGTCTGGCGCTTCAATTCAATGCTGAGAGGATGCCATCTTTCAGATGACATACTGAACCAAGTTGTTACTTGCCCTTTCACGTAGGCATTTAGATTAAACAAAAGGCACCATTTAAGGTCATATTATCAGCTCATTAACCTCACCGCTGTTTGCGTAACATTGCTATTCACACATTAGCTGCCACGTTTGCCTATTTTATACCAATGAGTGTGCATCAACAGTACTTTGTTGTGCTATAAAGCTCTTTGAGACATTCCCAGCGTATGACAGTTGCTATATAATAGCAAGTTTTTATTTTAAAATTTCTTTGAAATGGTAACAGCAATGGAATGTAAGATGCAACTTGGAATGGGGGTATACTTTAATAGGGACTGGGTATTTAAATTGAAGGGGCTAGGCAAATTAGAGAAACATGTAAAGCAATCAGTCACCCAAGCGCTCCTGTGTTATCAGAGAGAAGAAAAACAACAGAAGAACATTTTCCTTTGCAACAGATCTCTAATTATGAATAATGCTGCACCTGCTAAATTAGTCACTGTTTAGGTACGTACACAATATCGTTGAGCTCCAGGCGAGTGTCAGGAGGAGGGTTAATCAGAATGTAGGATAATGTGTTCTGATGGTCGTTCATTTCATCTGAAGAAAAGGGAAATTAGAATCAGATAAAAAAAATGACATTCGCAGTTAGAAAACAAAACCTGCTGTCCCTTAAAAAAATTCATATTTGGAATGGAATATCCTAAGAACCCATTCTAGACTTGTGACTGATCCATGGTCCAATGTGTTTCACTCTGGAGACATTGGGAGTGATGAATCACTCACTTCTAGGTTGTTCAAAGACAATAGCAGCTTTTCAAAGTTGCTTTGATGTGGGGTAGGGAGAACTGGAATATTCTCCTGTTATCCTACCTCCCTCCACTGACAAATTGGTTTTAAGCTCAAAAATTTGTATACTACTTTTTAAAAAAAATACATAAAATATGAAAACGAATAAAAAAAATGCTGCTGTCATATTCTATGAATAAATCCATTGAATTTTCTAAGGCTTTTGTCAGCTATAGACACTTCTGAGACAGGGGCAAACCTCAGGTTGTTCAGAGAGTTTGAAATGATCAGAAACATTGTTCTACTGGAATAATGAGTCATAACGCAATCCAAATTTAAATGTTTCCACATGATGCACAAAACACCAAATTTGAAATTAAAATGTATAACACCTCATATGCAAATTTAGTAAACTGCAGTGAATCTCACTTTGCATGAGGATTGGTTCTAACCCTGTGTTCACAACTCTCTAGTGCGAATCATTCTTCAAGAGGTACCCTCATCAATGGGTGAAGATGCAACTTCATAAGGCACAGAAAAATACACAAACCTCAAATAGACAAAAACCTACACAAATTGATGAAAAACCTTCAGTGTACAACCTTGTGCATTAGAAAATGACTCCTGGTCAAAACATCATTGACCCGCCCTGTCCCAGTCACTACCATTGGACACCGGTTCTAGCCCCAGTATAATGCTTTGATCACTAGCTCAAGATTGGATTATTTAATTTAGCAACAGTCACATATTGGATGTTTACATTTTGCTTTACTGTTCCCATCCAAATGATCTGTATGCGCAGCAAAAACATCTCTGTAATTATGGTGTCCAAATCAGCCCAAGTTTTTATAAGTCCTGAGAAACTTAATAGGACAGTAGTTATACATGTGTAAGAATTCAACTGCAATACATTATTGTTACAGTGCATATTATTGAATATACATTAAAATAATCAACATTAATACAACTGTTTACAGTAAAGATATTTTATATCACACCTCATGCTATTTTACATCCCATTAATAATGGGTTCAAACACATCATCAATTGCTTGTGAAACGCTTTACTTAATAATTAAAGATCTCAAGGATTTGTCTGCCTTTTTATGGCACTGATTAAGGATCATTAATACCCTTTCAGAATCAAAATCAAACAGATTTGAGAGTCACAGGTGTGTTATAAAAATAGGTTATCACACAACGAAACCACTTTGGAACCACAAAGACCCCAAAGTTTTAGATTGTGCAATAGTATGGTGAGAACATGACGACATTAACCTCTCTTAGACTGACCCTCACAGTTCATGGTGGTCATGCAGACAGATAAGAAGCAATAAGATTGTACGCTTTTTTAATATTCTGTATGGAGGGGTGGATGTTGTGTTTCAGCTCTTCACTTTTCTGAAACACTGACGTAACTGGTGGAACTAAGTTAGGGTATCCCAGAAGGGACTTGCCATTTCTCTGATGCATACAAGCGTAAACAACATATTGATTAGTTTATTTTGCAAAAACTGAATACAGACCAATAAATCTGATTGTGGCGTGGCAGATGGATAATTTCACATGCACGTGTCCCAAGTGTATGAACAATCAAATATCGTATTGTTGGTACAGCCTGTGTCGCTAGTCAGACTACCTAGAGCGTAATCTATGTCGAATGTAGCTCTGTACTTTTTCTGTAGTTGTTCCATCAGATTTGCAACAAATGTCGCAAACTGAGTCTCTGACACTTGGATTTGTATCAGGATCTGTATTTTGAAAGTTTCTATTTTGGTACTTTGAAATGTAATATTTATTTGAGTCATTTGGTAGTACAGAACTTCAATATTTCTGAAAAATGACATGTTTTGTGAAAGATTTAAACCTTACACTCATGAGGATATTTCACTACAATACCAATTTAAAGAGAAAACCAATTGTTATACTGCGTGAGAGGAGAGTGCTGATTGGTTGGTGTGGAACGCACCCAATAATGCTGATCGACAGTTAACTGACAGGCTTTGTTTAAATTTTAAACCAGGCAGGCTGTCCCTGATTGGTCAGAGAAATAAACCAGCAAGTAGCAGTCACCTACCTTGCTTGTTGCAAATAGTCATTTGTTCACTGTGCTAACTTGAGGCTGAAATAGGACACATCAAAAAAATCCTGCATGATAATGGCTACGCTGATCAGGTCATGTCAAGCAAACTCAAGAACTGCATTAAGGCAGTCACACTTGGTCCTGAAACATGCCCAGTGTAACTCCAGTTACATGGAAGGATGGGGTGCCTCAGAACCAACAGGTAAAGGTAACTTTTTCTTGCTGTTGCTATGCAGTGGTAACATGAGTGGTGTTTACTAGCAAGCGAGCTCTGCCTATCACGCAAGTGAGTAACGATATATGAACTTCAGTGTCAGTGAAGCCAGATACATAGACTGTATATCCAAATACTTGCAGATATCATATCAAACAGCATACCCCTTTGGCTGTTCAAAATCAACAAGGTGCCAAACAAGTCTGTGCTCACAAGTCTCACAATACAACATTCCATGTGATTCTGTAATGGGGCAACATTTGCTGGATAATCCTAAGAGTGCGATGAATTATGCCATCAGCCAATTTAGGATTGCCAGTTGGGCTCACAGTATGGTGCACTCAAATGTATTTGATGCTAAATTTTTATACAAAGGGTCCTGTTCTTGGCAGACAAAAAGGCCATCAACAAGCACCTGCCCCTGTTTCAACTCAACATAATATGTTACAGCCATTTGATGGTTCACTTTGCAGGGCAATGCCCTGATGATTCAGATTCACTGTCTGATCTAAAATGAAACTGTGCCTGGCAGTTAACTGTCAATCAGCATTAATGGATGCATTCTCCAGGCCACCACCTCTACCAATTTAAGTCCACTTTCTAACCAATCAGCACTCTTAATGCAGTATGAATGTCGTATTTTCCCTTTGAATTGGTGTTCTTGCAAAATATTCTGATGGGTGCGAGATGAAAATCTATGATAAAATGTGTCTTTATTCCACAATTTATTCAATAGCTCAGGGCAGAAATCCTTATGATTTATGACATTCAATGACAGGAGTATGACATGTCAGGTGGCATGATGCCTGCCTCTGTTCTTTTGGTATTTCGGTTTTACTCTGTGAAGTGTGATGGAGATATAATTTATTCTAAGCAGTGGGCTCTGTTTTGGCTTCAGGACCAAATAATGCTACAAGCTAATTGTCTTCAACAGAAAAGTGCTATCTGTCAAAAGACATAATCAGTAGCCTGAAACATAAATGTATTTACAGCGTGATAGCCTGCAGAACTTTGATATTTTTGAGAAAAGAACATCAATTAGAATTTCCCTTGGGCTAATATTTCCTCCTAAAAATCGTTTGCTTCAATTGTTGATGAGTGCTCTTTGTTATTATCCTTTTACATTTCTATTTAAAAGTTAAGCCTAAAAAGGTGCATAAACAAATTTAAACATGAAGCAATGTTGTGCTATTCCCTATTGGCCCACTTGTAAAGTGGCAGCTCATCAAAAACAAATTGTCCAAGGGCTACATTTACAAAATCATAATGTTTCCAATAACAGATAATTCTAAAAAAAAACCCATCAATTTGTAAAGAGGTAGTAGGAACTGCAGATGCTGGAGAATCTGAGATAACAAGGTGTAGAGCTGGATGAACACAGCAGGCCAAGCAGCATCATAGGAGCAGGAAGGCTGACATTTCGGGTCTAGACCCTTCTTCAGAAATGGGGGAGGGGAAGGGGGTTCTGAAATAAATAGGGAGAGGGGGGAGGCGGATAGAAGATGGATAAAGGAGAAGATAGGTGGAGAGGAGACAGACAGGTCAAAGAGGTGGGGGTGGAGCCAGTAAAGGTGAGTGCAGGTGGGGAGGTAGGAAGGGGATAGGTCAGTCCAGGGAGGACGGACAGGTCAAGGTGGCAGGATGAGGCTGGTTAGGTAGGAGATGGAGGTGGGGCTTCAGGTGGGAAGAGAGGATAGGTGGGAGGAAGGACAGGTTAGGAAGGCAGGGACAATCTGGGCTGGTTTTGGGATGCGGTAGGGGGAGGGGAGATTTTGAAGCTTGTGAAGTCCACATTGATACCATTGGGCTGCAGGGTTCCCAAGCGGAATATGAGTTGCTGCTCCTGCAACCTTCGGGTGGCATCGTTGTGGCACTGCAGGAGGCCCAGGATGGACATGTCGTCTAAGGAATGGGAGGGGGAGTTGAAACGGTTCGCGACTGGGAGGTGCAGTTGTTTAGTGCGAACTGAGCATAGGTGTTCCGCAATTTGTAAAGTTCCCTTCAGGAATGTTAGGGAAGAGAAAAGAAAGAGTATTGTAATTAATTGGATCACTTCAGCAGTAGCTGAACATGTTTTTGAAGATCACAGTCAAAATATACAAAAAAGATTATCTTGCATGTATTAAGTTTAACAGGATTTTCTTGCCTTCAATTTGGGTGACACGGTGGCTCAGTGGTTAGCGTGGCTCGCAGTGCCGGGGACTCGTGTTCAATCCCGCCCTTGGGTGACTGTTCATGTGGAGTTTGCATGTTCTCCCCGTGTCTGATTGGGTCCCCTCCGAGTGCTCTGACTTCCTCCCCCAGTCCAAAGATGTGCAGGCTAGGTGGGTTAGCCATGAGGAATACAGGGTTACAGGATAATTGGGGGTGGGCCTGGGTGGGATGCTCTTAGGAAGGTCAGTGTGGACTTGATGAGCAAAGTGGCCTCCTTCCACACTGTAGGAATTCTATGATTAATTATGGCATGAAATTATTTCACTGGGGGTTCAATTTTATGCTCATCTGTGCATTTTAG